GGGAGGGTTGCTAAGGTCATCACCCAGCAAAGCCCGGTGGGATGAGCAGCCAAGGTGATTAATGAGGAGAAGGCCAAGGAACTTTTTAATGAGCAGGTGTGCAGGGGCAGGAGGAAGGGGCAGTGCCACCTGCGTATCCTGACAGCAGGAGCAGCACAGAGGCATCAGCACAGCCGCTGGAATGTGCCTGGGATGCCCAAAGCCTGGCAGGTTCCAGCACTGGCACCTCTGGGGGAGCCCAGGACAATCCCCCTGCCCTCAGGAGCCATGAGAAGAGATTCTCACTGAGAACTAGCTTCAAGGCCAGGTTGGATGGGGCTTGGAGCAACCTCGCTGAGGGGAAGATGTCCCTGCCAGTGGCAGGGGGTGGAACAAGATGAGCTTTAAGGTCCTTCCAGCTCAAACCATTCCATGATCTACGAATTGGACACGGAAGCTAATTCCCAACTCCCACCTGTGTAAGGCTCACCCAAGAAGCACCTGGTGTGTATGCAGCATATGTGAGTTGCAGAGTGATGAACCAGAGAAGGTCCCAGGTTCTCCCAATTGCAGCAGTTTGATGCTCAATGCTTGCAGAAGCCCAGGAAGTGTTTGCTCATGTGTTCAGGAGTGCCAAGTACAAAGGGCTGTTGTGGAACCAGAGAGCCAGTAATGACAGCCCTGAGGAGGTGGGCTGAGGTTTCATCTCCTGATGGGGATCTCCAGAGCTCCATCCATGGTCCTGTCAGGTGTTCCTGCATTCCTACACGGAGCAATTAGTTGTCCATGTGATTTCCCCACTGACTGGGGAGCTCTTCCACAAGATGTGACACTTGATCACGTTCCCCAGTGCTGAGTGTTCTCTTCCTGCCGGAGATTGGCAGCTGGTGGCACCGGGTTCCTGGTGGCCTCCGGAGGGGACCCTTCTTCCCAAATTCCTCTCTCCAACCTCTCAGGCCCATTAATGGGATCTCTGTGGGTGTTTTGGGCCAGTTCAGACGAGTTTGGGTGTATTTCAGCCCCACTGGTGCCAGACACCTTGAGGTGTAGGTGCAGCCCTGGGGCTGTGGGTGCTCATGGAGCAGAGAGCTGGGGACAGTGAGGAGCCACTGCTCAGGCCCTGCTGCACTGCGCTGAGCTCCCAAACCCTACAGGTTCCCCTTTTCCACAGGTGGGATGACCTTCCCTCGGGGAATGACACCTGGGAGGCAGCAGATCGACCTGACCATGTGTGACCAGGGCACAGGCTGTATTTCCTGAGGCTCCCAGTTCTACCCTGGTGTGTTTCCTAGCTCCTTGGGAGACATCAGCAGCTCCTCAAGTCTCTTCCTGTGTCCTCGGAGCTCCCAAACCCTTGTCTCGGGGCAGAGGCACCTCTGGCCCTGCCTCGCTGAGTGACCCTGGGAGCCCGCGGTGCCTCTGGCTCATCCCTACGCAGGGACGTGACTCCCGTCAGGGACAGATCCCAGAGGAGCCTTTGGTGGCCTCCTCAGACCTTGGAATTTCCAGGAGGCCACAGGTGGGGCTGACTCTTCCACTGGGCTCCTCATCCCTGGGGTGGAATTTGCAGCCTCTGCAGTGGTGAGGCAGAACTCGGGGATGGAGATGGGGATGGATGGAACGAGCTGGATCGGGGCTGGGTCACGAGGGCTGTGGAGCCTGGAGAAGCCAGAGCCTTGGGAATCAGCAGAGCGCCAGGATCAGATAGGGCAGGCTGTGTTTGAGGAAAAGAGCTGCATGGAGCAGCAGATTCTCCCCCAGATTGGTGGTTGGAAGGCGGAAACAAGCCACAGTGCTGGTCTGGCACCTCCCAAACGCTGGGGAGCCCTGGCCCCTCCCTTGGCAGCTTCCCTGGTCCCCCCACCCCTTGCCAGGGATAAAAGGCCCCTCGGAGCAGCCTGGGCACAGCACAGCCACTCCAGCCAGGCGACAGCAGCTCCAGCTCCAGCACCTCTGCCGTGAGGACTCCCAACCCCAAGGCCTTCAGCATGGGTAAGAGGCACTCTGCAGCCTCCCTGCAGCAGCTCCAGCCTGGATGTGGCTCCAGCCCCGGCCTGGAGGCTGCAGACCTCCCACCTTGAGCCCAGGCCCAGCTGGGCACAGGTGGGGTTGTTCCTCCCGTGCTGAGGTGGCTCTGGGTGGCAGCTCTGTCCCTGTCACTGCTGCTGGGGAGGGGCAGTGAGGGCTCAGAGGGTGCAGAAGGGAACAGGCTTGGATCTAGGATGTCCCTGCTGGCACTCCAGGAGGATTCCTTTCCCGGGTTTGGGATGTGTCAGTGCCATCACAGCAGTTCCCAATGGTCCCTGTTGGCAGCTGTGCTGGGAGAAGGTCCATGGGGTGGGACAGACCTTCTGACTAGGAGCACATAGACCTGTGGGACATGGACATTCCTCATTTGATCCTTCTCCTCTCTCCCCTCAGACAGATGCAGAGCTCAGTGCTACGAGTACCCCTCCTGCCCCGACGTGGTGAAAGGCAAGTCCCGGGGATTGGGGCTCAAAGGGGCCAGGTGTGGGAAAGAGCTTTGTGTTTGCGGGACCTCGTGAACTGATGTGCGTGCCCAGTCCCTTCCCCAGTGGGACAACCCCAGAACCCTGTGGAGATCCACTTTGCTGTTCTCTTGCCTCTGGGCCAGGAGTGGCCCCAGGGCTGGGCAGGTGTCAGTGAGCAAGGAGGAAGGTTGGAGCACCCAGGACAATCAGTTCAGTCCAGCCTGAGAGTCTCCTGCAGCTCGTCCTTTGTGCTGGTTCATGGTGTGTTTTGACACCAGTTTTCTGTGCTCAGCTCCTAGAGAGGAGGTTGCCTACGTGACCTGCACCTACAGGTCAACCTGCATCGAGCAACCTGACTTCTTGGCCACCGTCGACCTCAACCCCAGGTCTCCCCATTACGGCCAGGTACTGTGTCCTCACTGGGTTTATTGGCTGGGGACTTGCTCCTGCCTCTCAGCTTCATATGACTCCAGGTTCAGGACCCGTGCTCTGCTTTGCTGGAGAACACCAGACTGCTCCATGGCCACTCTGGCACGTCTCTGGTTGTTCCTGCATTGCACCTTCTTGTCTTCCTGCATCTCTCTGTCTCATTCACCCTGGTCTGACTCTTGTCCCCTGCTGCCGGGTCATGTCCTGCCAGAACCCACCTGGGTTTTGCCATGACAGGCCTACTCCTGTCTCCTCCACTGGTGCTCTGCCCTAGACAGGGATGTTGTCTGCTCGGAATCTTACCTTCCTGCTCTCTTTCCACCCTCGCCCGTGTGCTTGGATCATCTCCATCTCTGTGTCCTGGGGACAAGTCGGCTCTGACTCACTTCCCAACTCACTTCCAGAGAATCTTGGTGCTGCTAGGAAGCTTTGGAACACATGCTGGGAATCACCTCTCGGTGGCTGCTCAGTGTGGAGTGACCCAGGAGGTTCAGGTGTCCTGAGCTCAGCACATTTGCAGAATCCATCCTGGTTCTGTGGTGCTGCAATGTCAGGGATATTCTGTGATCCTCTGCCCCAGCCTCCCTGCTGTCATCCCCACTGGGAGGTCAGCATTTCCCTGTCTCTGAAGGCTGCAGGGACACCTCATCCACATCCAGGGTGCAGCTGTCACCTGAGGAGTCCTTTACTACACGAGAACAAAATCTACTTAGAAGGAAATGCACTTTAAAGCCAAAATAGGCTTCTGAACATCTTAAATGCATTTTAAACTCCATCCTTAGGAGGAGTTTGCAGAGCAAAGCACCCGCTTTGTCAGGATGATGAACATAGTTAGTCCACAGGCATATCTTCCTGAATTTTAGTGGAATGAGGTGAGGAATTCTTGAGAGAATCTCCCCGTTCATTCCCAGCTGCGCCCTAACACAGAGCAGTGCCAGGGTAGGGAGACCCTTTTCCCCACCCAGTGCCTGCAGCCGGCCCCAGCCACACTCAAGCAGAGCCCACCAAGCCCTGCCCTGCCAGCACTGGGGTCCCCATCCCTCCTACCCCCTAACTCTGCCTTGGCTGCCTAGGTGATCCACCGCCTGCCCATGCCCAACCTCAAGGACGAGCTGCATTCCTCGGGGTGGAGCGCTGGCTGCACCTGCTTTGACAGTGTCACCACGAGGAGGAACAAGCTGGTGCTGCCCTGTCTGATCTCCTCCCGCATCTACGTGGTGGATGTGGGCTCGCAGTGCCGAGCTCCCAAGCTGTGCAAGGTAGGAGTCCAGGACAAGCTTCTGGGAAGGAGTTGGGAACTGCTGTTTCTGGAGTGGTACCCGGGGAAGAAGGGCTCTCTCCTCATCCTCTCTTCCAGCCTGGTTGTGGAGAGCTGGGACAGGTTTCCCTTTCATCTCTCTCCTGTTCAGACCAAGGAGGGCTCTGACCACCCTTGTGTCCTTTTCTGTGCTCCTGTTGTGTCCAGAGACATTCCAATACCTGGAAGTCACCCAAGGCCACAGCTGCTCCCTCAAGATAGTGAGGTGGTCACACAAGCTGGTGTGAGTTGGGTGTTGCTGTGAGGGCAGCTCGGGGGCTTCTGTGCCCCTCTGCAAGGAGGAGCAGCCCCAGCAGGTGTGAGTCCTGGGGGAGGAAACTCCCGCAAGCCTCGGGGGTTTCAGGAGTCTCCAGTGTCCAAAGGCTGTGCCAGGGAGTGTGGAGCAAGCCGAGCACTTGGAGGCTGAGCAAGCCCTGTCTTGCGTGGCTTTTTCCAGATGATTGAGCCAGTGGATGTGTTCTGGAAGTGCAACAAGGGCTACCTGGCAGTGACTCACAGCCTGCCCAACGGGGATGTGCTGATTGCCAACATGGGAGACCCAGCTGGCAATGGCAAAGGTACTTTGCCCTGTGAGAACTCCCTGAAACACCTGATGGGTTTGGAAGCGGAACGTGTGATTTGCCACACCTCCCCTTGTGTGTCCCAGGAGGATTCATCGTGCTGGATGGAGAGACCTTTGAGCTGAAGGGCAACTGGGAGAATGAGTGTGAAGCTCCCCCGACCGGCTACGACTTCTGGTACCAGCCACGGCACAACGTGCTGGTCAGCTCTGCTGGGCTGGTCCCCAAACGGGCAGGACGGGGATTCAACCCCGACGACCTGAAGAAAGGTGAGGGAAGAGGGGTGTGAGAGCTGAGCCAGCTCTGCCTGTGGGGTGGGAGGGGGTTGGTGTGGTCAGAGAGGGGAACAGGCAGAGTCCTCCCAAACGGCCCATTTTCCAGGCACAGCTGCAGGACCTGCAGCATCAGTCCACAGGACACACTTCTCCCCGTGTTCTCCCTAAATCACTGCAGTTCCTCCGCTGACTCCGGTCGCTGGCCCTGCCTGGAGCACTGGGGCAGGGCTTGGTGTCTGTGGGTCGCCCCTTACGCTCTTCTGAGTCGGTTTTCCTTCCCTCAGGGGTCTTTGGGCGCCGCCTGAACGTGTGGAACTTGTCCTGCCGCAGCCTCACGCAGTGCTTCGACCTGGGGGAGGACTCCCTGCCCCTGAGCGTGAAGTTCCTGCACAACCCCGAGGCTGCCGAGGGCTACGTCAGCTGTGCCCTCAGCGGAGTCGTCTACCGCTTCTACAAGTGCGAGGTGAGAGCTGGGGGAGCCTCAGCCTTGCGGAGAGCTCGGGGAGGTTCCGGGCGCTGCGCTTGCACGGGGGTGCAGACACACGCAGGAGAATTTCGGGGCAGCAGAGAGGAAGGCGTTGTACGGACAGGGCAGGATCCATCCCTGCCCGGGATGCGTGCGCCGGCACGCGCCTGTTCTCCCCCGGGCTGTGCCGGGAGCTGTGCAGGCCGTGGGGGCAGCGCAGCCCCTGCCTGGCGGCCAGGAGTGCTCAGGGGTGGTGTCTGTGTGTCTGTGCAGAGGGAGAACTGGGCAGTGGAGGAGGTGATCCGCATCCCTGCCAAGGATGTGTCGGGATGGATCATGCCCAAGATGCCAGGTTGGTGTGCCCTCAGGGGCTGCTCCTTGGCCCTCCTGGAGCGTTGTGTGTGCAGCTCGGCAAAACCTGCCGGCTGACCCCAAATCCCAGGTGACCCCAGATGACCCCAAAGCCTTTTGGCTCTTCCCGGGGCTGCTGCCTTGTCCTGAGCTCTGCATTTCTGTTCCTCAGCCTTCACCGTGGACCTGATCATCTCGACGGACGACAGGTTCCTGTACCTCAGCAACTGGCTGCACGGAGACATCCGCCAGTACGAGCTCTCCAAGAACTGCAAGCCCAGGCTGGTGGGGCAGGTGAGGCTGGGGCAGACAGGCTGCAGAGGGGGTTCCTCGGCCGGCTGAGGTGGTGCTGAGCTGACCCTGCCTCTCTCACAGGTGTTTGTGGGAGGCAGCATCCTCCGAGGTGGCCCCGTAACCGTGTGTAGGGATGAGGAGCTCAAGTGCCAGCCAGATCCCCTGGTGATCAAGGTGAGTTCTGCCTCTGCTTTGCCCCTGGCTCGGCCCTGCTCCTGCTCCTGCTCTGCCCAGGGTTCTGGGGCAGATCTGATCCGACCTGCTCCTGCTCCGCTCTGCTCCTTCTCTGTTCCTGCTCTGCTCCTGCTCGTTCTCAGCTGCTCCCAGCAAGACTCAGTAAGGTCTCTGCTGTCTGTTGTGCCTCCAGTGCAAGAGAGTGTATGGTGGCCCCAGCAAACTGCAGCTGAGCCTGGATGGTCGCAGGCTGTATGTCACCAACTCCTTCTACAGCGCCTGGGACAAGCAGTTCTACCCCAACATGGTCAAGTAAGACACACTTGGGAGGAAAATGGTCTCTGTGGCTCAGGGGCTCTGTGGGAATGGGGTGCAGGCCTGGGGGTTTGCTTGGGGGGGCACAAGTGTCTGAGTCTGAGAGGGGCAGTGACCCAAGTGTGGCTCTCTGAGCCAGGCTAGGGCTCTGCCACAGCGTCTCCCTCGATCCCCCCGAGATGTTTGGATTTAGCCGTGCAGAGGATGATTCCAGCCCCAAGGACAGCTCCAGCCTGCCAGGCACACGGTGCCCAGCGCTCTGCTCACGTCCTTGGAGCGCTCAGGAACACAAGCGGAGGCTGAGCCTGGGCTCCTTCCCCCCTCCCCCCCCCCCCC